GATGTTATCAATTGCATGGTAGATGCAAATGATAGGCAGATGTTGGTCTACCATGGTCTCAGTGGGCCAAAGCAGGAATCTTTCATAAAGAAAGAGGTGCTAGTAACCACGCCAGGACAACAGGTATAAATAAACCAGGACTGTTACAGGCAATGAGGATGGTCATCCTGGGGGAGCGGGATGAATTAGGAGACCCAGTTTGCACCCCTAACCCTACCCCTTCCTTTTCATGTGGCCTTCCATAAGTCACTTGCCTATGTTTCTAGCTCATATAAATGTAAAGGCAACTGGATGCCTACCATCATCCATTTAAAAATGAACACAGTTTCTTGGACTATAATGTAACAGATTAAGTGGTATCTAAAGTGTTTTTCTTATTCTAAGATTCCAAATCTGCATAACTTTGTAAAAAGGCCACTTGGGTGATGAAGTACTTATGCCAGAGCCCTTTAGGATTATATTTAGATGACTGTCTTTACATAAACAACAAGGAAGCTATTTTACTCATTTGACTTCAAAAAAAGAAGACCTGTACCTATTCACCAATCGATGCTCTTTGGTTAAATCACCAGCAGAAGCTCCACAGTTGCTATGGTTCCCAAGAGGCCAGCTGTGACTCACTTGCCCAGAGCCTCAGGTTCTGGCAAAGGGGAAGGGCATTTGTCCTGCTCATCTTATGCCTGAGACCTAACGCTGTCCTCATTCCTCGGCCTGTAGGAAGCAAATGGGAAGCGATAGGTGAACCGTCTCTTTCCCTCTCATTGGTTCCCTCGCCAGCCCACCTCCTATTGGCCAGCCCTGACTTTGGCCAGCTCTGCACCCCCATTTCTGGGAGACGTCCAAATGGTTAGCTAGTCAAAGGCCACATTTAATATTCCGAGCCTCACTCAAGCAAATGTCACATGCCCATCTCCTAGAATCTCAGAATTTTGGAGCAAGGAGGAACCTTATCTACCATATAAGCTTCAATTTCTAGATGAGAAAAAAACAAAACAAAACAAAAAACACCCAGAAACAATAACACTCATTAGTATTCAGGCTTTGTGGAAGGGACTGTGCTAGATGCTTTCTATCAATTACTTTATTTCCTTCTTACCACAACTCTAAGGGAGCGATTCTCATTACCCCCCAATGTTCAAAATGAGGAAACTGAGGTTGTCAGGGGCTTGATAATTGCTACTTGGCTGGTTCAATTTAATCCAAGTATTTGTTAGTGACAGAAAAAGGAATGTTTGGAGGGGAGCAATGGAGGAGGGGGGGGGGGAATGAGGAACATTTGTAATGATATGAACAATAAAGATCATAAATAAATAAAAATTAAAAAAAGGAATGTGAACCACGTTCTGCTGATTCTCAAGACACTGTTCTTTCAACTAAAACAATCAACAGGGAGGCAACAGGCATTCATTATGCGCCTACCATGTGCCAGGTGCTGTGCTGGGTGCCAGGACCGTCAGCAGGGTTGGCAAATGAAATGAAATGTAACATCAAATCCTGCCCTTCTAGGCTCTCCAGAGGAAAAGAGATTGCTGGGTGTGTACAAAACTCTGTCTCCAGCGGGGTTATAAATGCTTGCTAGAGGCCTGCTTAATGCTCAGACTATCCCCCAGGAAGTGAGAGTGGGCAGACAAGGAGGAAAGCCTCACTCTGCCTCTTTTGCAATTGAGAGAAGTGAAGCAGAAACAACAAGAGGGTTTGCCCAATACAAGCCAATGAGGTCAACTAGTTTTGGTTCCTTCCCTCCTATGCACCTGCCAATACGAAAATCTCCACTCAGGAGTCTCTGATCACTGAAGGGCTGAAGGAAAATGATCACTGAAGGCAAATCCTTCTGATGGGAATTATGTTACTAAGCTTCTCGCAAGTAGCCAAACCTACTTATTAGAACTTCATCCCTTCCCTCTCTTCTCTTTTGATGAGGACAAGCCAGGGCATGGGCAGGCTTCAGGAATGAAACCACTAAGAGCTGAGACTATCAGGGTGGATTACATTACAGCTACATTAAAGCCAAGTTATGAATGAACTGTTCCATAATAGTATTGGAAATAATGACGCAGCCGTAACGGATCACCTGTGCTGTGCCAGACACTCCGCCGAGTGAGTGCTCTGCTCAGATGGCCGCACGGAGCCTCACAGCAAACACAGGGGCCAGTCCAAGGTCTGTGTGTAGCTTATCAATGTGAGGAGGCCCCTCCTAAGGAAAGGCTAACATTGTCGAGGGCCCCCTAGGAAGGCACATGGGCATTTCTTTCATTACTGTCAGCTGAACTCAGGGCACCAGGCAGAGCCACACCTGGAAACATGCTTTCCCCCAAAAGGCGGACATGTTATCAGAACTGACTTTTTACCTTTGTCCAGGTGTCAGGGAGATATGGCTTTGATATGTAAATCCAGTCAAGCACCAGGAATGCTAGGGCCTACTCAAGAATGCAAATAAGCTCCTTTGGGTTTTGGTGATACTTCCTGGTTTTTTGGGATATATAAATAAATGTGCTGCGTGGACTCGGGGTCTCTGTCCCTCCATCGAAGAGGATGGTGTCCCACCTGGCTCCCAGCTTTGCTTCTATCTTTCTATCTGGTCTCCTTCTTTCTTCTATTTCTTAATCCCCAGCTCCTCCACTCAGGAACCAGACCGTTCCTTTTCCGTGCTGGATGCGGAAAAGAGAGAAACACCCCACATAACATCTTTCCTTTTCCAAGTAATGACACTGAAGCTCAGGCAAGTTAAGTAACTTGCCCAAAGACAAAAAAAAAACTTGTAAGTGGCAAGGCTAGGATTTAAACTCAGGTGTCTGACTTGAAATCTCAGATATTTTTTCTTTGCATTATGTGGCTGCTAATAAAAAAAAGATAATAAAGCTGTTATCATTTACAAAGCACTAACTATATAGCCCATGAAAATTATACTAATGTTCCTTAAGAATTACTATAACCTTTCTATTTATGTGAATCATTATTATCCCCATGTATAGATGGCGAAATCATCAAGAATTAAGAAAGATTAAGCACATATCTAGCAGAAGATCACCAGCTAGAACACCTGGTTCGTGCCCAGGATGCTGACCTGCAGACTCCTCACTCTTTCCCACTATCCCGTGCTACCACCCTACAGGTGAGCCAGGAGAGCACAATGGTGTTAATGGGAACATGAAACCTCTGGTTGACGTAGACTATTTCCATATCTGACCACAGGACCAGCCCTGTCATTCGGTTTCACACACCACAGTGTTCCTTCATGGCTTGGGCAATCCCACTTACCCTCTGTTATAATCTATTCGTTGGATCAGAGCCCAATCCCCATGGAGAAAACCACGCAAAAAGCCAACCACCAAATATCAATGCAAACTCAAGCCCTAGCCAAGACGCCTTACGGCGACTCCTGGCCCCATGAAGTATAGACCCTCAGAGCGCCTGAGGGTGGCGAAACCTGAGGCACCGGGGCGGTCACTGGCCTCACAGGGTCTCCAGAAACAGCCACATTAAGAAAATTCACATATTGACTCTAATTGGGTTGCTTAACTCCAGTCACCCAAGCAAGAGCGCACATCCTTAAACCGCCTTGCCACAGGTGTTCAGGTGGACAGGAGTGAGGAGCATTCCGTTCAGATTTCCCCTGGAACTTGGGTGCTCAGGGAGAGCAATGATCTCTAAGCTCAGACAATGCGTTTCACCTTCCTTGGCAATGCGAGCCTAGAGAAAATGAAATTGTGCTCTCCTTTGGTGTTTTCTTTTGTTCAGATTGTCTTTAACTGCTCTTGGAATCCTCTATTAAAGGATTTGCCACCTGGAATGAGACAACTTGACCAACAGGGAGTAAGTGCAGTGATCAAACTGGACGAGGCCTGGCATGTTTATCCAGCCAGCAGCAAGTGCCAACCAGCGGGGGAATTAGGCACGCAGCGATGGGTGCTGACAAGAAAAGCCACTCCATGGAGGGTGGGGATAAAAGGGAGAGATCAGCCAAAGGACTTGTGTGCACGCATATGAGCCTAACCAGTGGTCAAGGACAATAGGGGGGTGAGGGCATGAGTAGGGAAGGGTGGGGGATTGGAATGGGGGTGTTGAGGACAAATAGGTGATACCTTAATCAATAAAGAATTTTTTTTTTTTTTAAAAAAGGCCATTCCAGTGATTTTTCTTTTAGGAAAAAGTGATCACAGTAACTCTCTCTTGTTCCTCTTTCCACATAGACCGGTGGATGTGGGTGGGAGGGCAGAGAAAATGACCACCGGTGAGGTCAAATGTTGAAGTCTCCCGGAATGACTCTCTGTCCAGCTCACACATCTAGGGGAAGAGACAGATTCAGGTTCTTTGAAGAATCCATAAACACATCTTTGCCTGAAGCTCACGTAGCTGTTTGAGAAGAGCATGAATCAATGATGAGACAAAGCAGCACAGACTGTTGGTGTAAGACACCCCGCTGCTAAGCAGGCGGGTAGGCACAGACTTGGAGGGACTGAAATGTCACCCATCCCAGAGGCCTGGCCCGGCTACCAGCTAACCTGCTCAGCCCAAGGAGGCAGGAACACAGTAGGCTACACACCCCTTTGTCGCCCTAGCCCCACACCACTTCAAAGGCCACAGCAGGCAGCCAGCAAACTTGCCTCTTTTGTGGTACCTTTCATTTAGATTTTGTTGTTTTCATTAAGTGGGAGGGAAATGAGTTTGGGCTCAGCAGAGATCAGGGTGAAGGGAGGGCAGGGATAGGGGATGCAAATGATAGAATATAAGTGAGAGCTTTTTTAAAAAGGCTAGATCCCCAGCCTTATTTATTGTGACAAAGGGAAACGCAGTCATTTCCATGCCTCCCCATCCTTCTTTAACCCTTACCTACCAGCCCGGAGAAGAAAGACAAGGAAGAAAGGAGGGCTGCACCCGGAGGGTTTGCAGGGGTGCAGCTCCTTCTCGTGCACGAGGCTCAGCAGCGGGAGGCTCGGCTGCAAAGACCCCCCTTTCGCCCTCCCCCGCCCTGCACCCAGACACACGCAGTCCCGCCTCACCTTCTCGATGGCCTGGTCCACGGCCTTCTGGAAGACGCGGGCCACGAGCAGCGTGACGCTGGTCACCAGCAGGAGGAGGGACAGCGTCCCCACCGCGTAGAAGCAGCACCTGCCCATGCTGCGCGCGGCTCAGGGCCGGGCGGCCCCGCGGAGGGAGGGAGGGAGGGAGGGGGCCGGCGCCCTCGGAGATGCCCGCGGGCCGGCCTGGGCGAGAGGGCCCGCGGGGCGCCCAGCCGGCGGGCCCGGGAGGGGAACTGGCCGCTTCGGTTTCGATTTCCGTCCCTGGGCAGCCTGGGCGCCGCCGGGCGGGCGCTGCTCGGAGCCGGAGCGGGGAGGGAGGCAGCGCAGGCCGTGACGCTCGCAGCCGGCTCGCCGCGCACTCACTGGGGAGAGCGCTGCGGCGGCGGAGGCGGGAGGCAGGCGGGAGGCGGGCGGGGCGGGGGCTGAGCCTCAGTCATGTGCCCGCCGCCGAGGCCGCGATTCGGCCCGGGCGGCCCCCGACCCCTCCAGGCCCCGCCGCGCCCCCTCCGCCCGCGGCAGGCCTCGCCGGCCTCCTCCGAAAGTCGCCTGCCCTGCCCTAGCCGGTTTGGCTCAGTGGATAGAGCGCGGGCGTGCGGACTGCAGGGTCCCGGGTGTGATTGCAGCCAAGGCCACATGCCTGGGTTGCGGGCTGGGTCCCCGGCAGGGGGCGTGCAGGAGGCAGCCAATTCTCTCTCATCACTGATATTTCTATCTCTCCCTTCCTCTCTAAAATCAATTAAAAAAATGTATTTTTTAAAAAGTCACCTGTCCTGAGCTCATTCACACCCCCCCCCACACTCTGCAGATATGTGCTGCAGGCCTACCAAGCGTCAAGCACTGGGCATTCAGAATGGATACATCCTGGCCCCTGCTCTGGACAAGCTGACAGGTTAGCGGGGTCGCTGTTACAGCAACTGCGTCTCCGTGCTTTTACAGGTGCGTGCTGAGATCTGTGCAACAAGCACGTTCTGTCCTGGGACCTGGGACCCCCACAGTTGAACTGGGTTTGGGAGGATGTGTAAGGGTTTGTCACTTGAGGGGTGTGTGCAAGGGAAGGAAGAGACATTCCAATGAGAAGAGGTGTGCTAAGAAAAAGGGGGGGGGGGGCGTTGAGAGAGCAAGATTGCAGGAGGAAAGAGGACGGTCCTTTTGATGACAGGCCCAGGGGCGCAGCTGGTGGAGTGGGAGGTGTGGAGAGGCCTCGGGGTCAGGCTTTGCAGGGCTCTTTGTGTCCCACGGGAGAGTCCAGGCTTTATCGGACTTTATCTCTCAGCTGTGGGAGTCAGCAAGCAGCTCCAAGCAGGTGGCCCTGGTGTTGCCATCAGCTCTGCTCACCACCATCTCCCAGGCACCAGGGCTAAAGCCGGCACACCGCAGGGACTCAGTGAATATTAGTGGAAGGAATGTCAACGATAAGCCAGGCCCTGGCTAGGTGCTTCCATATTTACCCACTTGTCTAATATCCACAGCAGCCCTATGAACGTGTGGATCTTTGCCCCAGTCCCTCAGAAGCAGGGCCAGCCAGGAGCGCTGTGCAAGGGATTTAGGAGGGAAATGGACAGAGAGCCGGACCTGGGCTGCAGGTGTGGTCCTTGTGAAGGAGAGAGGCAAGGAGGGAAGGCTGGGTGGCAGGAAGCATCTTATATGACAGAGCTACTCTAAGAAAGTTCAGCAAGGCCCTAGAGCGTCCAGGAGCCAAACTGGCCTCTCTCAGAAGCCCAGCACTTTCCAGGCATCGGCTATAGCACTTAGCCATGGGCTAGGAGCAATCCTAGGAAACTGGCCTTGTCACTAACCGATGACTATCAGAGGACAGATCTCAGAGCTCAGCATCTGGGCAGCCATGCTCTGCGCTGGAAAATCAGAGCAGTGCATTTCCTTGGCCACCCTAGTAGTAGCGTTCCCATTTCATGCACAAGGAAACCACGGCACCACCAGATGAATAGTAGCCTAACAAGCCCAACCAGTTGCTGGGTGGTGGATCCTGCCCGGACCAGAATGCAGTAGGTCTCGTGGCCTCTGAAACCCTCACGCCGTCTCCCCTGTGTATTGCTGCCTCCCAGCTGCCATCCAGGAGAGTCTGGGGACAGGAGCTTCAGCTGGGGGACTTTGCTAAGGACTCGGCGAGATGCTGTGATGCATTGGAAATGGCGGCATGTCCTTTGACACTCCTGTGGAGAGGTGAGGTCTATTGCTTCTTCCTTTGAACTTGTGCTGGACTTAGTGATTTGTTACATCAATAGAATATGGTTGAAATCACCAGATCCTGGCACTTCTGAAGCTGGATGACAAAGGTCTTGCAACTTTTGCCTGGGCTTCTGAAAATTGTTGCTCTTGGAGCTCTGAGCCACTACAAAGCCAGGTACCCTGGGATTTCCGTGCTGGAGGGGACCCGGGAGAGTCCCCAGAGAGATGCCTCGAGCCTGCAGGAGGAGAGGTGCCTTGTTGGCCATCCAGGGACCAGCCATTGGAGTCACAGGCTGGAGACACATGGAGCAGTGATCCCTCCTTGCCCTGCCCGAAATGCAAAATAAAGGGTTATTGTTTTAAGCCACTAAATGTTGGCGTAGTGCGTTACTCAGTTTTAGATAATTGGAGCAGATTGTGAGGGGAGGAGGGCTGAGCCTGGCACGTTGGCAGTGACAGTGGCTGCCCACTCCCAGGTCTAGCCAGCTGAGCAGCAGCCCCAGAGAACGAACCAGACCTCAGTGAGGCCTGTAATGACTCAAGTCTTCCAAATGTCATGGCCACAGTGTTTAGGTGGTCCCTGACTTCACATATCCACAAGCGGCAGCCCTTCCTGATGCCGACCCTGCCCCATCTCTGCTATAGGTCCAGCTATTTAGCTGAGCTCTGCCCTGGGCCCCGATGTGCTTAAGTGGCCATGCTCGCCCACTCATCCTCACTCACCCCCTTCCTGGGCATCACATGCAGCCTCTGCGTGTCCTCTCTCCTTCATCAACTAGGAAAAAGATGATTTGGTCACCTGCCTGCCTGAGTATGCGGCACCTAGCAGTCAGGCTCCAATCGAACCCCCTCTCCCAACTAAGACTCCTGGGAGCAAACTCCATCGTTACCCACCTGCACTCGTCCTGGGCCACCAGTCCCTGTTCAGTCTTCCTTCTCATTGCTCATCGAGGTTCCTTCTGGCCTCTCGTCTGGTCCACGAGGGAACAACAGACCTTGGGATGGAGGGAGAGACCCAGATTTGCTAAACTCATCTCTGCGTGGGGAGAGCTTCTGAGTGAGAATTTCCACCCCAGTGCCCCCCTCCCCATAACCTCCCCCCCCCCCCCAGGTGCCCTCACTTGGGCAACACCACTCTGTTGTCCCCACTGCCAGGCAGCTGGTAAGCTGCTTCCCCTTTAAAACTCTGGTTCAAACTGGACAAAAACCTCTTTCTTGGTTCCTCTTAGCACAGCTGACCAGATTAGCATTTTAAAAACGTATTAAACAACAGGAGAGAACAGAAAGGACCTAATTACAGAAAATCCAAGTAACTTAATAAATAACAACCTTATGTCCCCAAAATAGTCATCTGTGTGATCCCACAGGAACTTCTGTCTCATTGTGAGGAGCTGACCTGACTTTTTAGCACCTGGCCTGGCTGTCTTCCTGTTCAGGTCCATCTTCTCCCCCCACCCCAGGGCAGTTACTGACAGGGACCTTACCCCAAGCCCCCCAATTCTCAGATAAGCTTCCCAAGGCCCCTCCTTATTTCCAATCCACAAGACATGTTCAGGATCAGCTCACTCTACAGGTGACACTCCACCTCTCCACACAGGGCGTGGCTGCTGTATGACTAATGACCTGCAGGGCGGGCTGTGTGGGAGGAGATTAGTGCTTTTACTAGGTAGATGGGGAGGCTAACGCCCTAGGAGGGAGACAATCAGGAGTCAACCTGGAGAGCATGTCAGACTCAAAGGCTAGCAAAGGCCTAATAAACAAGGTTTAAGTTAATGTGGGCCACAAAAAAACAACAGCTTCAATATTCATAGAAACGTGGGCTTATTTCAAAAAGTATAGCATATACAAAAAAAAAAAAAAAAAAAAAAAAAAAAAAGAAAGAAAGAAAGAAAGAAAGAAAGAAAGAAAGAAAGAAAAAGAAAAAAGAACAAGAGCCATGATAAAAGTCATGTTTTCTTCCTGACACTTGGCATCTCTCCTCTGCTATATTTTTCCTACTTTGGGGGAAATCTGGTTTGCAGCGATGACTTCCAAAACTGACCCAAGGTGAGTGTCAGTCATTCTGGATCTGACAGGGGACCTATTTCCTTTCATAGTTGTAAATAACTGCTCATACTGATAAGTACTTCCAAACATGGAAATCATTTCACATGTGAATTTTTGAGTATTTTCAAAGCTGGCAGGTAAATATTTGTATCATTCAGACACACCAATTGCACTGAATTTTGCCTTCAAGTCTGAATCACACTGGATCTCAATGACTCCCATTTGCGTTTGATTAGATACTGATTCTATGTTTATTGTAAAGGTCGAAGAAAACTTGCCTTCCAAAAATTTAAAATCTGCAAACCTTGTTTTAAATTCAGTTCTAAGGCTTAAAACTTTTCTGCATATTTTTTATACGATGCAGTTTCACCTAAACTTGATTTGTTCATGTTGCATGTCAGAAAGTAGATTAAATCTTTATTTTTCAACTGCTTTTCCCAAAGAACTACATTTGAATGCGTTGACTTGGTCACACGTTTATAATAATCTGATCTCTCTCTTTTTTTAATTTTAAATCATGGAAGTGTTTTGTTATATCAACCATGAGAGATAAATCTTGCAGCCATATTGTGTCTTGATTTTTAAAAAAATATATATTTTATTGATTTTTTACAGAGAAGAAGGGAGAGAGATAGAGAGCCAGAAACGTCGATGAGAGAGAAACATCGGCCATCCACCTCCTGCATACCCCTCACTGGGGATGTGCCTGCAACCAACGTACATGCCCTTGACCGGAATCAAACCTGGGACCTTTCAGTCCACAGATTGATGCTCTACCACTGAGCCAAACCGGTTTCGGTAGTGTCTTGATTTTTAGTTATTAAGAACTGACATATTTCTTCTTTCAAGTCCCAGAATTGTTT